AATCATTTTAAGTACAATTTATAATATCTGGAACAGCGGTCATTTCGTATGACCGCCGGGCGTTCTAGTACATTATATGCAAATCTTCATTATTTAATTTCTTTAAAGATAAAACAGGGAAATAGTATTGGGTGGAAATCAACAATTTAAAAAAGATTCGCCGTTTATAGCTTATTTGGGATAGTAATAATCCATCACTTAGTTTGTGGTTATATATATTTAAATTTTTTGAACAATGCTTATTTACTGCCTCATTAAAGATGGAATGATCATCAGCAGCCTGAAGACTAATTAAATATCGTAGTTTGATTATAAGGCCATGGAATTATAGTTAATAAAGCTTGACATTAGAATTACATGTATCATTATGAGTAAAAACGTAATGCAACTAAAATATAATTAACTGCTATTTGTATAATCGGCACTTTTTGTATCTATGTACACAGCTTTCCGCTTGCATCGCTTAAAATCATAGCAAGAATGAAGAAGTATACAACATTTAATTGAACTGTAGACCATTTCCTGGTATTCCTGGTATTATAAATGGAACTGTAACACGAAGTTGTAAGAGTTTTTTAAGTACTAACTTTCCCCCATTTCTTCTGATCTGCTTCTGTTTTTCTCCAGTCAACTTCGAACCACGAATGAGACAAAAGTTTAGCACCTGGTGACTTGAATGAGAATATTCAAATAACGAAATATTACATACGGAAGAACAGAAACGCTACATTAAGTGCAAGTGAACTGTGTGTCAAGGGAACGAAAAACCACACGCAGCAGAATCAGCTGCACTTGAGCAAGGCTATCCTGCAAGCTGGAGACCTTGGAAGAGAGTCTTGGTCTCACACACATTTTGTTGCAATGAAAGACGAAATAACATTCTTTTCCTGTGTAAATTATATTCATTTATTTATTCTATAATTGTCGAAGCGAACTGACTCCAAATAGGGGTAATGCGTCACGCCGATACCTCACGAAATGCCATCTACAGAGCTTTAAACGATTAGCATATCTTACAGCAATTTATTATAGGACACATATCAGATGCATCCATTCCGTCTGAAGAATGTTTCTTTCATTCCTTACTTAAAAGAATTCATGCCTAACATTTAATAAGAGAGCAGATATGTTAAAACAAAAAAATTTGCACTTAACTCCTGCAAGAAAAGAATTAGATGTAATGTCTGGTGCAATCATTCAATAGACACCAAACGCTTGGTGGCATGAAGCGAATTAACCCCAAGTATAAAGTAACAACTGAAATTTTAGAAGGCTAAGACCTGTTATTTAAAACTAAGAAAAACAGAAATAACGCTTTGTGCTTACAACTCAGTCAACCACTTGTGGCGAGATAACTTAAGAGAAACAGTAAGTTCATATGCAAAATTTAATTTCAAATAAACTAGTAGCCAAAGGCTACACAGATCAGTCAGTGAGAAATTGGCTCCGGCATGGATATCAACTTTCGGCAATTATAATGCAAGGTCAAGGAGTGCAGATCTTGTCTTATCTAGCAACCTAGTAACGTGGCCTCGAGAGCCAGAACACGCTTTGTCTCACAATCTAAAAACCTCGCTATAAATACTCGCGAACCAATTTGCATGCCAGCGGGAAAAGAGAAGGGAGACGTGATTCAAAACATAAAATAGCTGGTTAATTAGCATAAAGAAATCTTATAAAAAAGTATAAGTAATAAATTTACATATAAAAACTTCCTTTATTTAATATGCTACTATTATATACACACACCAAAGGAAAAAAAAAAACTTTACTTCCCTATTTTAGCACAGTTTTATAAATTAATTAAATCCTAGGACATATTAAATCAGTTTCTAACGAATGTTTTAACTTTTCCTTTTTTCTAAACGAAAATACTGTTACGAAATGTCAAGGCGCGGTGAGATGGCTTCTCCGCAAAGTAGTTTTAGGGTTGCTATAAAATGGCAAAAAGAAGGCAGGTTGCCGCATTTGGCGAGAAATCGCCCATTTGGCGACATTTGACGACAAAATTGGCGATATACCATGGACGGTTGGAGAACCTTCAGAAACGAATTCTTACCGGTTTAGCCTAGAATGTTCTCGAACACAAGCCGAAAGCTATATAAACCCTGCTGGTCCGCTGTCAGTTAATGTGTCTCTCATCGAGAGTGTGTGTGCCTCGTCTAGCAAGCTGATAGTCATTGAGCGAGTGTTTCGAAGTGTAGCGCCGAGTTCGTCTTCGAATGCATGGAGAGAGTCTTTTAGTGTATCGCGTATTAGTGCATCGTCGAGTTTCATCTTAGACTGTGCTGAGTCGAGAGCTACACTCTTGTGCATTGCGAGTTGTAGGTGGAAAGTCTCGGAAGTACGTGGAGTTCCGAGAACGACCAAGCAGAGTCGGAAGCTGTACTCTGGTGCTCTGCAGTGAAGCTGTCTCCACCGTTATTGCCTGACAGTGTGAAGGCTGTGTCACTGATTGTTCCAGCGTGTTTATAGTAGATCTTCGCCGACTATAAAAGTGTTTTGGAGCTGTCCTGATTGATATTGGTAAATAAAGTGTCTTTCGATACTTCACCAAGTGTCGTCGTTATTCACTCCAAATCTACGAACCCCGCACGAACGTGAAGGAATAAATTAACGTAACAACTAACTGACTGCGAACCAGCAGGGTTTACATAGCTTTCGGCTTGTGTTCGAGAACATTCTGGGCTAAACCGGTAAGAATTCGTTCCAGAAGGTTCTCCAACCGTCCATGGTATATCATTAATTTTATCGCCAAATGGGCGATTTCTCGCTAAATGTGACAACCCTGCTTTCCCTTGCCATTTTATGGCAACCATAAATCTGCTTTGCGGGAAGGCCACCGCGCCTTGACATTTCGTAACAATACTTTAAGAGTGTCTTAGTGATTGCCGTTGCTGAAAATATTCTTCCAGCTGTTGCTAATAGAGGAGAAAGGCACTAAACAGCTTTAAATAATACTGTCAAATTAAGAAATATTCATTCTACAGCATTTTCACTTCGAAAATACTTTAAAAAAAATCTTAAAAATCTTTTGTCAGTGCTTCTACCATCCTTAATAGATGCCATTCTTCACAAAAATCTCAATTATTTTCTTCAACATGTTTTCGAAACTTCACCGCAAACCGCAATACAAGGTAAAAATTTGTTTTGCATATTTCAAATTTAGAATAGGTACACTTTCTTGTAAACGATCTTTTTAATATATAAATTAGCTTTTATATTCAATTGAAAACTTGTTAAAGCATATAAACAGATAATTATTTTAGCTTAAGGGGTCTTAATATTTTTTCCGGAATTTCAATCTCATATAAATTCATTTTAGAACAGCTTCCGCTCTTGCTCATATACATATTTAAAAATCTGACATTATTGGTTAGATTTACCTCTTCATTTGCTGTTGTTATTTGCAACATGTTTTTTTTCGTGACCACTTTCATTTTATTCCATATTGATGAAATTAGAAAGTAAACGCAATTCAACACAGTCATTTAAAATTTACTATTCTATTAAAGTGAATATTAAGAAAAGAATATATATCTTAATTAAGGAATTTTGTATTGTAATTAAAACAAATGTAGATCACCAGATTTTGTATTGCAACTAAAACAGATATAGGTGTATTATAGATCACCTTTTACTGCTCTCAAAAGGAAGTTTTTCGCTCAAATTCATAAATCTAAATTTTCTCATGTTAGTTTCATTGCTATTTGGAAGGCAGGAAATGCTCGACTTGATGATAAACACATTTAAAAACTCAAAATTTATGAAGTGTGTTCATCCTGATAATCTGCTGTTTGCTGAAAGGCCACAGCGTAATTACTGATAGGCCAGGAAATAATTGGTACCCAGACATAAGACTCAAAACTTCGCAGAGTCCCTAAATTCTTAATAATCCTATTTTTATTTTTAGAAAACAAGGAAAATGCGAACCCTTATTTCTCTAAGTGCGTCAGAGATTCAATTCAACAAGAAACCGGTTTCGGCACTTTCTGTTTTTGAGTAAAATTATAATTCCAACGGAGTTCTAATTAAGACGAGCTCCCATATTTTTTTCTTTAACTATATTATCATTAATTTAATTTAGTTTTTATTTATCTTCTTATATTTTAGTTTCCTTTATTTATTATTTCGTTTATTTACTTCCGAGCTCCGACATTTTAATTTATTTACCTATTTATTATTAACTTCACTTATTTTTCATTTATCTTTTACTTAAATTTATTTATTTTTTATAACTTTTCCTGAAGGTATTCTATATGGCTCCGGCACTTCTGTTTTAGAAATTAAAGTCTTTTCTTTCTGTGTCTTGTCACTGGGCGGAGGGGGGGGGGGAACTCGCCACGGTTGCCTGTGTGAATGCGATTCATATATGGATGATCTTTACCTATCCTAAAAGTACGCACGCAGAGTTTTAAGACTTCCAATACAGACATGGTTTTTTCCTGCTAGAAATGTTTTACTAGAATGCTCGTGGTAAGTTACATGAAAATATTACAGAAAAGTTTCAGACACGATCCTCAAATATTTGCGTCGAAATTCTGTTAATGTTCTATTAACCGAAATTTCAGCATCCTTATTCAAACGAGATACGGATGCTGAAGATGTGTTTTAGCGAAGACAATGCTTAATTTAATCCTGGCTCAGGGAAAGAAAATATGACTGTAATTGCTGTTCGATACTAATTATTTCCAATGTGCGTTTTCAAGCATTTTTGTCTGCCGTAATTTTTTTCGTCATATACAGCGCATATTTTGATATTAAAATTATGGAATCTGCTTCAAAACGAATTTTTTTATGTTATCTTTAGCGGCTCTGCAGTACCTTTTCCTCCCCAGAGAGTTTTTGAATATGTAATAGCTTTGCAGCTTCAGTAAAGGTTAAGTTTTGCATACCACTGAACTGTTCTATCAGGATATGAAGTATGAATCCATGAGTATGCAACAATGTGCGGTATTAAAATTACGCAAAGAAAAGTACGGAAAAGAACGTGTACTTACTATTTGCAAAACAGCAGCGAAGAAGACACCCCCTGCTTTGTCATAAGCATATGGGTAGTTAAGGACGCCAGCTCCGAGGGCTGCATTGACGAGAAGAAAGGAGGCAACAGGCCAGCTGGTACCTGGAATGATATCAAGATTATCAATGCCCATTCACGAAAATAAATAAATAAATAAAAATTGTATGGTTTCAGATTTTAAATTACGTCCAAAGAGGCGCTTTTTTAACAATTTGTGTGTTACCTTTATTTATCAAATATCACGTTCTACGTACTCAAACTATAAAATTCAGTTCAACAGCAATATCGCAAATTAATTTTAAAATGAGCATATCTTTCGAATTTCCGATACAGAGTCTCACGCGCTGGATATAAAAATGTTTTTTCTGTACAACGTTGCCATTGCTCGCTTTGAAATCCTTAAGTTTGTTAATCAAAAATTCGTTTTACAAAATAGGAAAGTTACAAAATAGGAGTTTTACAAAATAGGAAATCGATAATGAAACAAATTCCAAATTTCGGCTTCCACATGCCCATATTCGCAGTAGGATTACGTCATTCAACGGCTCTATGTACCGTTGTTTTATCACAGCGCAAGAAATATACATACATTTATGCAGATTTTTCATTATTTAATTTCCTCAAATATAATGCAGGACTCTTAACATTTGGTGGCAACAGTTTGAAAAGTGATACGGACATCTATAGTGAACCAACGCAAAATCGCAAAACGGAAACAATAGTCCTTCAAGAACAAAACCCCTTTACACTAAAAATAAATAAATAATAAATAAATATGCAAGATTATGTTGCTAAAGTATTGTACAGCAAACTGCAAATTTTTTCTCTGCGATTACTAACAACTGCCGAGTTAGGAGTTTTTGATTTTACAATAAAAACGCTATTAAGCAATCAGTAAGAACAGCGCTTAGAATTTTGCACTTAGCACTATATAGCATGCTCTACATGCATTGCATCACTCAGTACCCGTATGGCAAAAGGTGCTAACAGGAAGATACAGGACATTTTTGTTGGCTAAACTGTAATAGAAAAGAAAGTATGTCAAAACAGTTTTTCTGAAGAATATTATGCTTGCCTAATAATATTTCAGAACCTTCGAGTAGTTGATATTGAGTTTTAACCAGAAAGACAGAAAAATTAATGCGATCGAAGTTTGTGTACCAGGAAGCTTAATAAATTAGCCATACACTTGCTCGGAATTAAAGTCGAGGCCATCGAATTATCGAAGCGAAATGCTGATCTTTCCAACCTTACTCGATCCTTTCTGGGTGTCATTTACTGTGCTTATCGACATCCGTATTGTGGGGGCCTCGGTTTTGGGGGAAAGATAAACACAAACTGTTATTAGTTACTTTCTTCGATAAGTATTTTGGAAAATTGAGAAGGAAACGAATTTCACCGATTTCCTTCTCAACTTCCCCGAAAACGGGTGAAACCGGAAAGGCTTCAGATCAGAGTCTCTAAAACAGAGCTCCGTTCCTTGTCGAACTTCTCATCCCAACTAATTTGGAGACAAAGTTTACTAATCCCACGATTGCCTTCATTAGCAAAAGGATGCACACTTCATTATTACCACAGGAATTTATTGCAGCAGTGAAGACAACAGATAAATAAAAACATTAATGCTCGTTATGGGATTCGCCCTGTCAACTGATATATATAAAATTGTAAATAAACTACAATTAAAAACTGTAGTTTCAACTAAAAAAAAAAAAAATATGTGACAAGTATTTTGGAAACCGTATCGAGGTAAACTTCAACGGAATGTAACGTTCGAAGCAAAACTTCATAACAGTGAATGTTCATTATTTAAAATTGATACACAAGTAGGTTCTCAGAAAAATGTCAAAAACGAATGGAACAAATTATAATAGAAAAAAAAAAAAAAAAAACATTTTGTACACTGATGATGAAATTTAATCACTGTTCTTCTAACCCCCACCGGCACACCACTGGCCGAGCGGTGGCTGAACACTGGTAGTTTGATAGAGTTCAATTCCAGACGCACGGGCTGGGTGTTTGACTATTTTCATGGGTTTTCCTTTGCGTAACGTGACTACGAGCCAAGGTCCCCCAGAAAATTCTCCACGAAAACAGCCCTTCCCTTAGACAGACGGCCTCGCATGTTTTGCCATAATCAAATAAACCGAACCAAACATCCACCCCATCCCATTTTGAAGCGTTTAAGCACATAAACAAATATTAAACTACAATAAAAATATAAAAGGATATCAAAAGTGATTTTTTTAAAAATAAACTACGAAATCTTCCACATAATAAAATGTTTATAGATGTAAATTGGAATAAGGATATGTGAAACTATTTTGGTTGCTCGATTGATTTAAATGAGGCAAAGCACGTTAGGACTAACTGATTTACAAAATTTTCCATTTATAATATTTAGATTAACATAGGCGCACAACATGACATAGCATATTATTTTTATTATTAATATCATTTTTTTAAATCCAGAAAACTGAACAGAAATCTTTAACGTTAAGCCTTTTAAGTAAATAAACCATACACTCGTTTTTAATGTTCTCATTTATTTATAGTATGTAAAATCATAAACATTCTAAATACATAGTTTATACATACAAATTTTAGCTTAAAACTGCACATATTATTGAACTCAAAAAAAGTTTTGTGATAAAATGAAACTGAAAACGTTCCCAGTGAAACGAATTTTTTAAAACGAATTTAACTTTTTTTTTTTTTAAAACGAATTTAAATTTTATCATATGAGTTTCACTTACTCTTAATTTTGTAATAATTTTGTATAAAATATAATAAAATATTTTATATTATGCAACTTAATTATAATACCAGTATGAATATTTTGCTACCACAGATTTTATTAATAATAATAAGAATAAGCTGTTTAAGCTTACCTCATTGAGAATTTTCTTAAATAATACGGAGCAGAAATTTCTTACAGGAGTGGAGATGAAAATATTTTTTAAGGATCAAGCTATAATATATTGTTAGATTTAGATGAATACGATTAAGAACTTAAAAGATGCAAGAAAGAAAAAAGACGGAGGGAACCGCAACTAAAGGATTAATTTCTATACCTACCACTAGATGGCAGCACCTAAAAAATACCATGAAAGCATGAAGGTAGGAGATCGTGCATGTTTCTTACCTCCATGCATGAAAGCAAAGGAATAAAATTCCTTCTCCGACGTGTCTTGATTATTTTTTCGTTATTTCTTTTATTTATTATGCATATATATAGCAGAGGCGCAGAACCAGAATTTCTCCAAAACAGGCTAAATTTTGCGCGTAATAAAATACTTGATTGAAATCAACACCTTTGCAAAAAGCCAGAACTTTTTTAAATTTTAAAATTAATTAATTAGATTTAATTGCAACATAATTTATTTAAAATGTATTTTGTATTTCATGATCGCAATTAACGAAAGCTCCACGAAGTTAACGTTCAATTCTTAAAAATTAAGCGTCAAATTGCCAGCGTTTCCCGGCTAAGCCATTCGAATTAGCAAATTGCATCACTTCATATGATAACGTAGAATGATTAATCTGTCTTATCGACTATTTATTAATCATTTTATATGGATATTGTGAAAATCAAATACTACTTTCCAAATATTTTAGCATAGAAAAGTTATTTTTTATAGTAGATCAGCTAAGATTTGGATTTTAATTTCATTATTATACAACAGAATTTCAGTCAAATTAACAGTAACAGTCAAACATCTTTGGATGGTTTAAAACCTTGGAAAAATAATTACGCTTTCTTTTTTTGGAGAACTTGTGAAGTGACGTTTTCTACATTCTAGAAGTTAATTTTCAGCTCTTTTTCTATTTCCGACTTTTAAAAGTATTTAAATATCTGTTTAATCAGCACGAGATGGCCACCTGCCTGAATTGGTTAAGTTCAGGGCAAATTTACAGGATGCTCTGACAGAAAAATCCTTCAGTAGAAGCAGCTAATCACATCACAAGACAAACTTCGAATTTCATTCATTTTCAGGAAAAGCAACATTCAAGCTGCAGATGTTGGTGATCCGCCCGCCCTGAGGAATTTAGATAATAATGAAATATTAATACACAATAGTCTGTATTCCAGACTGCAACACTCCGGTATGTTATACATTCACTATTCCGACCTCTGACGACACCATCTATTATCAGAGTCCAATTATGCCAGTCTGTAGACTAAGTTTAATTTCAGGGACATTTAAAGCTAGCGTTCTCGTTTTTATGCGAAAAAAAAAAAAAGGTTTCTCGAGAATAGCATGACGCTTTGAAGGCTCCCCAAATTAAAAAATTAAATTACTATTATTTAAAAAAATGTATGGCTACATGTAATCGCATATTCTAAAAAATAACCGTTATACCACCGCCGATTATAAAGCTTGCAATCTATGCACAAAATGCATTTCTAAGGCCAGTCAAATGGCATTTAATAAAATCACATTTACGCGCTTGAGGCCTGGCTAATGAGATGGCATATACAAAAAAAAAAAAAAAAAAAAAAAAAAAAAAAAAAAGTATTGAAAAATTTGTGACAATCCTATTCACAAGGAGAACAAAAATAAAACTGAAATTTACTGCGTTATGGGAATATTCTCTCCAAGGCAAGCCGCTTATCTCGGGCTGATCCTTACTAATATTTGATTTTATTTAGTTTATTATGGCAATCCACACTACGGCTATTTGCCAAAAGGGGGGATGCCTTCGTGGAGCACTTTCTGAGGGAAACTGGCTCATATACACGTTACACATGGGGAAAACCACGAAAACGCCCATGCAGCCAGCCCGCTGGCGGACCCTTCACTAATACTCTCACATGGACCCCACAAATTACATCTATTATTAAGAAGTTTCAAGTACTTCAGATATATAAAGCTATATTCTTAATTGCTCAAAACAGTGTTCTCTCCGCAAACAACAAACTACACTTTTATACAGCCATGTTGCGTCCCATGTTATATTATGCCTGCACTACATGGGCGTACTCAAGCCGCACTAATCGAAAGCAATTATAGACTGCGCAAAATATTGTTTTCTGACAAATATGCAGTGCAAATTGGTATATTCGTTACACTAAAATAAATGAAAATTTAAATACTGTT